CAGTAGCTTGCTTCTTTTCTCCAGGGTCGGGGACAAAGGATGGCACTAGGGGAACAGCAGTCCCAGAGACACCTGCTCAAATGTGGAGTTCCTCAGGGGGCAGTGCTTTCCCCAATGTTGTTTAACATCTATATGCGCCCCCTTGCCCAGATCGCCCGGAGGTATGGGCTAGGGTGCCATCAGTATGCAGATGACACTCAGCTCTATCTGATGTTGGGTGGCCAGTCGGACTCCAGTCTGGAAGACCTGAACCAGGCACTGCAAGCCGTGGCTGGTTGGCTCAGACTGAGCCGGCTGAAACTAAACCCAGCGAAGATGGAGGTCCTGTACCTGAGTCGGGGCGGTCTGGGGATGGGGATCCCTCTCCCGGCCTTCAACGGGGTGCCTCTGGTGTCGGCGCCAGAGGTTAGGCGTTTGGGAGTGCTCCTGGATCCCTCCTTAACTATGGACGCCCAGGTGGCAGCCACTGCCAGGTCAGCCTTTTACCACCTTCGGCTGATTCGGCAGTTGGTTCCCTTCCTCGACCGCGATGACCTGGCTACAACGAACCATGCAACGGTCACCTCGAGATTAAACTACTGTAATGCTCTCTACATGGGGCTGCCCTTGTCACAAATCCAGAAGCTGCAGCTAGTGCAGAATGCTGCGGCCAGGCTCCTGATGGGTCTCCCTAGATGGGAGCACATCCGGCCTGTGCTGAAAGCACTGCACTGGCTGCCAATAGCATACCAAATTTGCTTCAAGGTGCTGGTACCTTTAAAGCCCTATATGGCCAGGGTCCGGCAAACCTGAGGGACCGCCTTTCCCCACACATACCCCAGAGAGCACTACGATCGGAGTCACAACAGGGTTTGGGCTAGTGATTCCAGGCCCCAGGGAGGCCAGGCTCACTGCAACCAGGGCCAGGGCCTTTTCAGTGGTGGCTCCTACCTGGTGGAACGAGCTCCCGGAGGAGATCAGGGCCCTGCGGGACCTTTTACAGTTCCGCAGGGCCTGCAAGATGGAGCTCTTCCGCCAGGCTTTTAATTAGGAGCCGCCACTGCCACAACCACCAACTATTATCGTTAGTAACAATGGGGTAGTGGGCTGGCCCTATGAAAATAAAGCCACAGCATCGTGACAGATTGATTATCACTGAACCGGGATTTTGTATTACATCTACACTATGCCATCTAAATTTGATTGAAGGAAGAACATCACTGAGCACTTTAATTGTAAAATATGGTTGTTTTATGTGTTTTTATATTTGGCACATGGTGCCCTAAACTGTGAGCTGCCCTGAGCCTGTTCGCGGGGAGGGTGGGATAGATAAGTAAATAAATAAATAACCGCACAGGTCTGTTGGGCAAACCCTCTGGAACTCCACGTTAGCCTGCTGCAAAGACAAATGGGAGTTCAGTGGCCTTTATGGGGCCACAAGACTCCTGTTTATTTAAGGGCTGTTGTGGGAGAAGAAAGAAGAACCTTGGAGGAAGGAAAGCCTAAAAATGCAATTATCGCTTTTAGAAGCAGGACTACAGCTCACTCAGGTTGCTTACTGAACACAGGACAGCTTGACACGTTACGAAGCTAATTCATGCCAAAGCATTCCTTTAAACTATAAGGGGCAAGTTTAACATGTATCTTCCATCTGTTAAATGAGGATTATACGTAGCCATCTCTTTGCCTCTGCCCCAAGCTAGCAGGAAGAGGGGAATGGGGAGAGACATGAGAGGGGATGCTGATTTTTGACAAGAGGAAAGCCTTCATCCAACAGGGGAATTCGCACAGAGCCCTGCAAGGGGGACTGCATCCTCCAATGCATCACACTGCAGGATGGACAAATGGAAATGGGAGAGGCTATTCTTAGTGATACAGGATATGCCAGCATCGTTGGTTTTTATTTTTATCTTGCCATTTATGCTGGTATGTCCAGACATCCCAAGGACCACTTTAGGAAAGTCAGCACTTCCATAATTAGGTACTAAACAAGAACTCCATCAGGGTGAAAATGTAGACTACACGAACCATCTGAGGTATGTTTTGGGACACATTAACTGCCCTGCATTGGCCCAGCTGTTTGTTTTGGTTTTTTAATATATTTATCTCTGCAAGCAATCCAGATAAATGCAATATGTGAACAAGGCAAATTATACACAATCAGCAGCGATCCTGTATGTCTACAACATTTCTGCCAGCTATACTCACAGCAACTTGGTTTGCGTGCTACATTTGCTCCTCTGCCCAGCAATTCTGGCTGTGGGATTTGGGTGGGTGGAGGGGGTCCAAGGACCACTAAAGAAACTGGAGGAGCTTACAAATGGAGGTGGGGACAGGGCCAGCCCGTCATAGACAAAATTTAGGTAGTTGCCTATGGCTCTGGCTTGATGAAAGTGCCGTTCTGGCCTGCTTGCCGCCCTCCCCTCCCTCGCGGCGCAGCAAGTCCTCGGCTGAGAAGTTGAGGCACCTCGTTGCGGATCAGCCAGGGCGCATAGCCGGAGCAGTGCGGCAAACAGCGAGTGCCTCCCCACGCCAGCGGCTCCTCTGGCCTGGCTGCTGCTCTCCCGCTGCGGCTCCGGTGCCCGCCCCTCGACGTAGGCAGGGCCCACCTCTCCCGCACAAGCCTTTGTCCTTGGCCAGGCGCTGCCTCCGTGCTTGGTGCCCACCAGTGGCACTTGCTCCGCGCCTCTTTCCAAACTGTCTTTGGAGGCCGCCCAGACCGCAATCTGAACCCAAAGCTTCTCGGGGCCGCCCTTCCCACCTGCCCATTCTTTTCTTCTTTATGACACCCCCCCCCGTCTTCGTGAAGAGACAGGTGTTTCGCTGCGAGGTAGGTGGGGCTGAGAGAGCTCTGACAGAAACTGCTTTTTTGAGAACAGCTCTGACAGAACTATGACTTGCCCAAGGTCATCCAGAAGCTGCAAGTGGAGGAGTGGGGAATCAACCCCGGTTCTCCCAGTGCACTTAACCACTACACCAATGGAGTCTGAAAGTAGGAGGGAAGTGTAGAACTGCTCTGATCTTCCATGGGAATTTTATTAAAATCAGCATAATATACTGGGAACATATATCATTATTGTAGGGACAGTGTAATAACATGTCATCAGCTGTCTCAACCTTTCCCATTTGACAACGGTCATAAGTAGAGCTGGGTAGGCTTATAAAAAAGGGAGGGGAGGGGTTTATTCAGTGCTCAAAAGGGGCTCATATTTTCAGCCAGGCTGTGGTGGCAGAGGCGGAAATGGAAGGAACTGCTGGAGGGGGGGAAAGATTGTACATTGTTCCCCTCTCATCTGGCTGTACGTGGTAGATACTGGCTGCACACACTATAGAACTGTTTCAATAAAAGTTAACAAGATTTGAAAGGAATTCAGAAAGCTCTTTTAGAGCACAGACAGGGCTGTGAAAAGAGAGGCTCAAGAAGATACACTGAGATCAAAGACATCTGTAGAGTTTGGTTCAGTTTGATACATGACCAACTTGGAATGTATGAATAAAAACAATAAAAACTACCATGCACAATACCAAAACCAACAAAAAGACTCATATGTGCCATTATACCCCAACATTTCACAAATCTTGCACACATTTTGCCATAGAAACCACCCAAACATTTAGAAGAGTTTTTTCCTCCCCAACAATTGCCAAGTAATGCTATATCGTTGGGGGGAGGGGAGATACAGAATTAAGGCAACTTTAGTACTTGTGCTCCTAAAGTAACTTCTTGCCTATATTCAGATGTTACAGACAAACTCTAGATTCTTTGTGATGAGAATGAACCTGGTTTACATGCCCCCTTCACCATCATTACTCTTGCCCACCATGCTGAGACCAAAGACTTCCTAAACCAAAAAATCGATCTAACCATAATTTGCTGTGACAGCAGAATTCGTGTTTTTCAACCAACTAAAATTTGTTTCTGGTCCCCAGATTGGGAGGCTAAACCATAGTTTAACCCTAGTTTGGCATCCCAGTTTGTTGAAACATCCAAATTCAGGTGGGTTTAGGAAGTTAGGAACCACAGTTTATTGTGATGAAAGACTTTCTAAACCAGGAAGTCTTCAATCTCAGTTCCACATGCAAGGAGGAGGAGGAGATAAGAGGAGAAGCACAATGTCAATAAATAAACCACAGTTACTCTAATCACAAACAACCTTCAGAATAACACTGACAAGACACGTGTTCAAGGAGGAGATAAGAGGAGAAGCACAATGTCAATAAATAAACCACAGTTACTCTAATCACAAACAACCTTCAGAATAACACTGACAAGTGTTTGTGTCAAGCAGGTCTGCAGAGTTAGAATAATTCACATAAGCACAACCTCATTTTCTAGATCTAAAGGTTATTCAGCAATGCTAGTTTCACTGATGAAGACACATTTCATGCAAACACTTCTGAATTGCTATTCCCTCCCCTCCACCCAAAAGTCAGAAAATTAACCAGAACCTCTGCAAGCCCCTTTTTTGTTTTCCCAGGAAACAGGACCTTGCCTGACCTGCTCTCTCGCCCCTTCTAGCCTCACCTTGCGAACAACCAAACCAAAAATTAAACATTTGCAAATAAAATCATTCACCTTTTCCAGCAAGCTCCAATCTCAGGTTGGTTATGCTCTTCTGCTCACATTTAAACCTCAAACATGGTTTCTCAGCACCTACTAGAGGTAAGTGGAGCAAGATACAGATTCCACTTACTCAGAGTAGACAGATAAAGGCTATTAATCAGGACTGCACTGTCAGCCATCCAAGTGCCAAACTACAGAAAAGCCTCAAGAGAGGGGACCGGTTTTGTCAAGAAACATGTTTACAACATTGGGATTATACAGACTTCAGCAAAAAAAAGAAGAAACTCACGTGTTCCAGATGAACATGCGCCTGACTGGCAACATCATATATTACATCTTTCACTTTTTGCTCCTGTTTATGCCTTATGAAATCCTCTTGCGAAACACTGTGCTGGTATACCAGGAAGGGAAAAATAAAAGTTAATAACATTTCTGGTAAATAAATTAAAAGGAAATCAAAAACGACTTCCTCAAAGGCACATTACAGACACCTAATTACAGTATAACTTAATGAACACTTCTAATTTGCAAAGTCCGCCCTTAAGCCGCAATGCAACAGGTTCCCAACACTCCTTCCCAGTCGTGAAACAATGACAGGCTTCACATAAGACTACAGAATATTAATCCACATTCTATTGCTCAAGCAAGATAGTCAGACATACTAAATGCTGCCAGGCCCAGGTTAGCAGCTACTTTTCAGAACGGCAGCCTCTTGCAGTGATTAACAGCACTGGGTCCCATACAAGGATTGCTCCTGTAGCTGCCAAGAAAGGGTTCTTCAAACTGCTCCTCTCTAGAAAGAGCATCAACAGGGGCTTCGCCTCTCCTCCTCCAACACTTTGGCTGGGTCAAATGCTATAAGGGGAGGGTTCTGTCGCCCTACTGGTGTTCACACTGGTGAGGAAGGGGTTAAACAGTCCATTTGCCTGAAGTTGAGGTGGTTGGATCAGAATCCAAGCTTGGGGACAGTTGCTTAAAACCTATTGTACATTTTTTTAAAAAAGAAAAGAGCCTACATTTAACACTATCAGTTTTCCCCAAAGACTTTCCTTAGGACACCACATTTTGTTGCCTTTTTTTCCCTTTCAGATCAACCCTCCTGTTTATTTCGCATCTTGCACTGTAATATAACCAAGTGGGCAGGGGACACATAATTTATATGCTGTGCAGAGCATGACTTCTGCCGCGCATTCCACACTTCAGGGTATTACACCTCCACCAGCCAGAGATCTCTGAAAGTTTAAACCAGGCCTTAGATTAATAGGGAAAGGAGTGCTATTTCACACTGATGACTTTTTCAAAGTGCAATCTCTTGTGGTCACACACATGTGCCCAAGTGTAACCAACAGACCATCAAAAAGACAGTGAGGTTAAGATACAGTAAGGTCAGATAAAAGTCATCCATAATTTTCTTGATCAGTGTTTAACCGCTGGAAAGCAGCCACAGTACATGGCTAAGATGATCCTTTTCAATAAAGGAGTGATAACTACAGTAGCTAAAAAAAATTTTAATCACCAAATTTCATTTGAACAACCTAATCACATGCACGTGTGTGCGTGTGATGTTGATTCCCAGCTGAATCATCCTACCAGCATACACATGTCCACAGGCAGAAACACTTTCCCTCTGCTAGCATGGTACGGAGTTGCTCTTAAGCAGGTCACAATGCCTTGCGCCTTCCCGATGTGACTGGCAGCATGGTCAGCATGGATATCCTTCACACCTGTACTTGAAGAAACAGACATTTAAACACACTGGAATCACAGCTGCCCTGGCCTGGATGGCTCAGGTGAGCCTGCTCATCAGAAGCCAACCAGGGTCAGTCCTAGTTAGTATTTGAACGGGAGACCACCGAGGAAGTCCAGGCTCGCTATGCTCAGGCAGGCAACGGCACACCAGCTCTGTTTATCTCATGCCTTCGAAACCCTATAGGGGTTGCTATAAGTCAGCTGTGACTTGACGGCACTTTTCACTGCCACGGCCGCAACTCTAAGAAGACTCATTGGAATGCAAAGTTCTAATGAATTCAGTGGGACTTACTTCCAAGTCACCATTACTATAGGGGTTGCTATAAGGGAGGAGGAGGAGGAGGAGGAAGAAGAGGAGGAAGAGGAGGAAGAGGAGGAGGAAGAAGAGGAGGAGGAGGAAGAGGAGGAAGAGGAAGAAGAGGAAGAAGAGGAGGAGGGGGAAGAGGAAGAAGAGGAGGAGGAGGAGAAGATTGGATTTATACCCCGCCCTTCACTACCCAAAAGTGTCTCAGAGCGGCTTACAAACTCCGTTCCCTTCCCCTCCCCACAACAGACACCCTGTGAGGTGGGTGGGGCTGAGAGAACTCTGACACAAACTGCTCTTTTTCAAGGACAGCTGTGCCAGAGCTTGTGACTGACCCAAGGTCACAGCAGCAGGTGCAGGTGGAGGAGTGGGGAATCAAACCCGGTTCTCCCAGATTAGAGTCCGCATACTTAACCACTACACCAAACTGGCTCTCCAAGACCCCTCCCCACTCACTCATCCTCCCTTGCAAGTGTTCCCCTTCAAGCTGCTTTAAACGACATTTCTCTCTGCCAGACTGAAAATAAGCTCAATCACGAAGGAAAGGGGGAAAGAACGGCGAAAATTAATTTGTCAGGGAGACCCTGCAGGTGGTTAAGCAACCCCCGCGGCCTAATTACTCCCTACAAATGCCAACTACCCCCACATTACCTTGGCAAATGCAGGGCTTACATGTGTCAAGATAACATGCAGATGTGCCATGAGAAGGCCATCTTGGGTAGTTCTATTTAAACAGACGCTTTTCCATTTTCCATCACTAGGAGTGATGCACTTTAGACTAAAAAGTGTTCTCAGTATTACTTCAGAAACGCACCTACCAAGTATTTCCAGTGTAAGATAAAGGAGTGCACTCTGAGTATTTTCTGCATATGCTTCCAGTTCATTGATATTCCGATACGCTCTATCATCCAAATTCTTTTCCTAGTTTGAACACAGAGAAACAGCCTGTTTTCTAGTGTACGTCTGCTATGAACAATTTACATAAAAATGATATTAATTGTCTTTAGATTCCTCTCTTCATGTAATTTTTTAGTTTTTTAAAGACCAAAGTTATAGAATGCTATGAGGCAGGGGTACAATGACATCCTTCTTCACACTTTTTAGTCCCTCCGCCACCACACCTTCATAACCCTGCCATGATAGGCAGAAACAACACGTGTAAGTTTTACACCAATTTAACTGCTCTGGCATAGTTTGGTGATATTAATCTGTTAGAGGTTGTCCTATGTTCCCTTTAAAAGCTAAATTCCCAGGGTTTCCTGGAAAGTGGGAATGACCATTCTACAAGTACATAGTGAATCTATGCCCATGGCAAAGTCTATAACTATGTTCTAACAGAAAATAACATTTGCCTGTTTCAACACCAAAACAAAGCAAAATAAAAGAATGCTTACATATTAAGATTATGTTCATTTAAAAAAACTCTTACCCGTTCATCAATAATCTTCATAAGCCACTTTTTGGTCAAGTTTTGTCTCTTGATAGCCTAGAAGTGGTTGAGCACAAATTCATCCTTTATGTATGTTTATTTTACAATACAAGGAAAAACCAACCAATAAAGTAGCTGGGTCTGAGATACTAAAAAACCAGACTCACAAACAGCAGCCTCCCCCCACCACCACCACCACCACCAAAAAGGGGCATATTTTGCCTGCACGCTTTTCACTCTTTTCTCCACAATTCATACATGGACAGCTTCAAGTGGGAATTAAATAAGCATATGGAGCAGAAGTCCATCAGTGGCTATTAGACACAAGGTATAGATAGGAACTCTCAGGCTGGGGCAGGTGATGCATTGTATTCTTGGTGCTTGGGGGGGGGCAACAGTGGGAGGGCTTCTAGTGTCCTGGCCCCACTGCTGGACCTCCTGATGGCACCTGGTATTTTTGGCCACTGTGTGACAGAGTGTTGGACTGGATGGGCTATTGGCCTGATCCAACATTAGCTTCTCTTATGTTCTAGAACATAAAATATGACAGAAAAGAACTTTATAAAAGGCAGCCATCAAAAGGAAAAATAGACTAAACTATTTTACTGACATTCTCACAGATACCTTGAACTCATAAAGTTGTCAACCAGACACTTTGGTTCATTAAACTGGAAATTTTGCCTTGAGAACACTTAATTCAGTTTGGAGAATCTGATAGTTCAAAGGGGACAGTGTGGAGAATGCACACCTTCAGGCGGCTTCCACACCAGGATGATTCTCCATTGCGCTCTCACTGCTACTGGGAGGGCAGAGGCATTCCTAGTGGCAACAAAACCTCCACGTGGGCAGATCCTCTATGCTTTCCCATCATACCTGCTATTCCATCCCCCCTGCTGCCCATCAAGTCCAGCATTCTGTTCCCACAGTGGCCAACCAGCTGCCTCTAGGAAGCACACAAGCAAGATGACTGCCTGTGCTCCCCAGCATATAAAGAGGCATACTGTCTCTGGTCCTGGAGGGAGTAGATGTCCATAGCAATATATCTACTTTCAGTTTAATAACAGCAAAAAGCCTGACAGTAGTGCGGTTGTGGTGGAATTGTGGGTGCAAGGGGGAACGATGAGGCAATGGTGCCAGATGTGCATACAATCTTTATAGAAATATTGTACAAAAGCAAATTTGGGGAGATATGCAGCAGAGTCACAGAGAACCTGGAATATGAACAATCTGCATGAAGATGATGTGCAAAAGAGAAAAACTGCCGCCATTTGAGGGGAGGGGAGAGCCTCCATGCAGAAATGAGCTAAAACAGGAAAATCAGCCTTGAAAATGTATTTAAACATATCCTGTTACAGAAGTTTATTAAGCAAGGCATGACAAAGAGTATTGGGAAATCTAAAATAAAAGAAAAGTTACTGCACGTTAAATGTTATGATGTGATTGAAAGCCAAGGAAAAAAATACTTTGTTGGTATGGTACCAGTACTGAGAAAAAGGCAACAAATTTAGCAGGTATATTTGTCCTCATAAAGTATTCATGATGACCTCAATGTAGTTAAGATCCTGAAATTTGCAAAAATTGATGCATTGGTCTCTTTTACACTCAGGAATTTTACAGTGTTAATAGTGATTGGATATAGAACAACATTTGCACAACTCTAAGAAATGCTGGGGAAGGGGAAGTTAGACCCCTTGCATTTGGATATTTATAGACAGACATTTAACAGAGTGGCTAAGAAAACTGGAACCAAATGTTCATACACTGATATAAAAACAATATCAAATATATCAAGGCTGCAGTTCAACAGCTGCTGAGGATTTGCACAGCTTGCAGGAAGTCCCGGGTTCAGTCTCCAGGTAACACAATCTGGCAGTAGGTGATGTGAAAGGCACCCTTCCTGAGGCTCTAGAGAGCCTCTTTTAGTCAAAATAATACAAATGGTCTGATTCACTATAAGGCAGCTTCATACGTGTAAGGGGCTTCTTAGCATAGATTTCTCAAATACTGCTGAATAAAGATGATACTTACAGGCCTATTTGTATGTAAAAATCGAGGGGGAAATTGGGTCTTGTTCTACTTACTACTATATGGAAATATGCACCGTGGAAGAATAATTATTATGCAGTACATTCCAGTTTAAGAGAAGACCCTTTACAAAATATTATAGAAAATTTTACAGCTACCGGTAGTTATCAGAACTGTTGGAACTGTGATCAGGCTGGCAGGGATTTCTTTTTTTTTATGTCAAAACTTTTATTTTGGATATAACAACACATTCAACATTACATTACATTTCTATTATCACATATCCCTTTCTATTAACTCCCCCCCCCCCTTTGGTGGCTTCCCGCAATGCTCTTCCCCCCCTTTCCCATTTATATTTCTATTTTCCCTTTCCCCTTATTCAATTGATCTTGCAGCTGGGCAGATGACCCACAATATAAACAGAATTTTGAAGGCTAACCTAATATTTGATCACCTATTTGAAAGGAGCAACTCCTAGAAAAACAGCAGTAGTGCTACTTTCTATGCTGGTTGCAAAATTGGAAAATTCAGAATCTTTGCAAGTAGAGTGAATGGTCAATTAATCTCTGGGACTGAACTCCAATGAGTCATATCACCTATTCTATTCAAGTGAAGGAAGGGCATCAAAATACATGCAGAGAGAAAAGGGGATGTGGTTTAGGATGTTTCAGAACATTAAGCAGAACAGTATTAAATATAGCCACTGCTCTTTGTTATGAGAAGTTTCTGTCTCTTTCCATATGTGTTTGTAGGTACAGGCGTAACACATTCTATATTCATGCCGAATATGAAGTAAAAATGTGTTACTTATGTAATAACTTCATATAAAACTGATGTGTAACTCCAAATGCAAACCAACTACAAATATGGTATGTGATGAATAGAATAGAAAAATATTAATTACTGTAACAACAGAACAGTGTTGTCGCTGAGTCAGAAAAGAAAGGAAAAACAACATTTTGACTCATTGACAGCCTTCCTCACAAAAACCAGTCTGGACAAGTCCACAACCAACATGTATAAAGCTATACTAGGCTCAGAAAGGAACAAGCAGGGAAAGGGGGTACGGAAGAAACAAAACTCACCAGGAGCTAGTGTGAAATAATGTTTGGAGAGTCAGACAAGAGACCTAGATTCAAATCCCCACTCTGCAGTGAAAGCTTAATGGGTGACTTTGGGCTAGTCAGTCTCTCTGAGCCTACCTCGCAGGGTTTTTGCAAGGACAAAATGGAGGAAGATGGAGAGGCTCATATGTCTCTCTGAGCTTCCTGGAACAGGTTAGAAATCTGACAGGCAGGCTTTGCAAAAAGACTTTGACAGAATCGATCCAGCCACTCCCAGAAGGGAGAAACTAGTGGGTTGGGAGGAACAGAACAGCTTGCACACGTGCATCTGGCCTTGCCTTGACACTAGGGATGGGCATGAACCACATTTTTGCAGTTTGGTTGAAGCGGAATGGTGGGGAGCTACCCACCACTCAGCTGTTTTTCATGAAAAGCCACAAACAGCATCAAAATTTGTGAAAGTTCATGGTGGTTCTTCAGTTCGTGAACACTGCTTTGTGAACTACAAATCACCCAAAATTCGTGACAAACTTTAGTTTGTCAGCAAGTTTGTGCCCATCCCTAATTGACACCCAGGTGAAAGTACACTTATCCTGTTCCAGAGCATCAAGGCCACTCTGCAAGCACTCTCATGGCCTTCAGTCCAGTATACCCATCCCTGCCTAAGGACAACCTCCCCAGAAAAGCATATTCTGCAAATTTAAAGCAGATATCTGCCTGCTGTACATTTGCACTGATTGGCAAATGCCTCCATGTTACCAGTCAATCAACTCTGCCCATCCTTGGAATAGTTTTATGCTTTAAAATAAATTTACCTTTTCAAAAATATTAGTAAGAGACAATGAATGAACAAAAAACATTTGCACAGCTGCTTTTTTATATATAGATACAGACAGTGTGCCTGAAGCATGGGGGGCAGTGCACAGAGGCAAGACTGAAGGCTGAGCTAATGTGCAATTTGCACATGTGATATTTAAGACATAAAACCATGCTCATCCAGTGGCTGAGAGACATTGTGAGTGTGGTTTTTTAATATTAAATCTGCCTTCACTCTTTAATATAACCAAGATTCTGTACTTCTTATAAAGGGATTTGAATCCCAGGAACCATAACCAAGAGCACAAAATACAGTGTGACCAGTAGTTTTGTAGTAATTGCTTTACTCTAACAGGAAGCAAGCTCCATTTATTTATTTATTTTCAGAAATTAGGCTTAACTGCCCCACAAAAATGCTTAGAATGGCAGCCTTGCACTTACCTCCTTAACTCATCAGGTGAAAGCCACATCCATTTCAATGGAACTACATTTCATATTATGCTTTGTTGTTCCCTGACATACCTGAGAATTGTGTTAAGGGAAAAAACTTAAGCAAACCTTTCTAGTTCTTGGTCTTCCTAGTACTATTACATTTTTACTGGATGTCTTATGCTGCCTGATTGAACTGTTTTCTATAGTTTATAATCTACCTTTCGGGTCTTTTTTAATTTAATTTTTTCCTTGAGATCAAGGAACAATTACCACCGATTTTTTTTTACCACAAACATATTATACCTTCCACAGTTCTCTAGCAACAGGCTGTTGGGGTGCATTATCACGATATATGTCTTCTACAGCTTTCCTCCAAAACTCTATACGCATCAACCCAATGGTCTTCTGAGTTACTGCATCTTTAATCTGGAGCAGAAGCATAGGATAAGTTAACTTTACCTCAGTTTTCTACTCTTAAACCAAATTAATCCACTGAACCAAATTCTTTTTCTTAATGTATTTGTACTAGCAACATATACCAAATACATTTTTTCACCACACACATGATTTAAATCATCCTTACAACACACAGGCTCTCTCACATAATAATTACACCACCCAGAACTCCACTCAACAAGATGTTTTCATACTTATAATGCTTTGGTAGAAATATCTTCAGCTGAAAATAATTCTACAAGGACCTTAAAAGTTAAATAATGTTGATATTTTAGTGTATTTCTCATCAGTTATTACCCCAAAATAATTATTATTTAAAACATTCTAATCCGTTTTTCCATCTGAGGATCCATCTGATCCACAATAAGTGACCATAACCTACTAAAAACAGTCTCCCATTAGAAAAAAAATGATCAGCACCATAAAACAATGCTAAGCACTACACTAAGTACTCACAATGTTCCAAAACATCGAGTCAAAAACTCCATGAACAGTGGACTCTAGCTTCATTCTCACATTTTTTGTTAACTCTTGCACTTACATAATTTGCTGCTACATTCTCACATTTTTTTTTTGTTAACTCTTGCACTTACATAATTTGCTGCTAGCCATTGATCTCACCGGCCACCTGATCCAATTTCAGCTCTGCCCATGCCCCTTGGTTCTGAGTGGCCTTTCCTAATGGCTGCCCCCACCCTCGTTTTTCCTGTAAATAAACCTTGAAGAGATTTTGTTCCATTTGTTTGAAGAAGTGTGCTTTGCACACAAAAGCTTACACTTCGAATAAAACTTTGTTGGTCTTAAAGGTGCCACTGGGCTCAAACTTTGTTCAAGTGGCAGACATACTGAAATCCCTCTGAATGAGGGTCCTCTTCAACAGACAATAAATGGATAGCAGAGATGCAATTTCCCATGGAAAACCATTCCATAACCATGGCACTGCTAACAAGAAGTGGCCACCCACCATACGTCAGTCAGTGGAGACACACGATGAAGGGTCTCCAGAGATTACCTTGGTTTGGATACTACCAACTTTTTTTATCTCACCCAGTTCTTCCCCTCAACATAGCCCCTGTCCCTTGAGACTTGTTCACATACATCTCACTATTGTCAGTCGTTCTGATGGCCAACAGTGTCCTATCTCTCTTTCAGCAGCAGAAAAGCTGGTAGAATCCCACTCCTATAAAGGTAAAGGTTTCCCTTGCTCGAAAGCCAGTCGAATCCGACTCTAGGGTTGCGGTGCTCATCTCCGTTTCAAAGCCGAAGAGCCAGCGCTGTCCGAAGACGTTTCCGTGGTCATGTGGCCGGCATGACTAAACACCAAGGCGCACGGAATACTGTTACCTTCCCACCAAAGTGGGAAGCTATTTATCTACTTGCAATTTCTTGCTTTCAAACTGCTAGGTTGGCAGGAGCTGGAACTAGAGACGGGAGCTCACCCCGTCTTGCCGCACACTCGGGTCTCGAACTGCTCAACTACCGACCTTCCACAGCCTGCAGTTCAGCGTCTTAACCACTTGAGCCACCGCAGCTCCACTCCTATAGGGCTATCTAAATAAAAAAATCCCAAAATAAAGCTACAAAAGATTTCCTATCACCTCTTATTACAAAGATCTGTTATATTTTTAAAAGGGCTCTTAAGGGTTGAGAAAGTTGATTATTTCATAGCGTCAATATATGTTATGAATGTACTGTTGTATATATTGTTCAAAATAAAAAACACTTATTGAAAAGTACTAACCTTGCCCAAATGGAAAAAATTAAATAACCCAAACCCACCAAAGTAACATCATTTACAATGAAGCCATCCAAGAAGATCTTGACGAAGAGCACCTTTGGTAGAGAGTCCTGCCAGAATTGGACACAGGTAAAAACAAAGACAAAGAATCTGCAGAGAAGCTGGATGGATTTTTAACATACAGTTTTCACCAATGATAAAGTATCTGAACAACTATGTCAGAGGGGATAAATAATGAAGTTTTAAATTGTACACATGAATTAAAAAGTAACAACTCACTGGTGATCATTCACCTGGGAGCTCTTTAAAAACAAGACTTAACTGTGAAATGGTTAAACTATTAACCAGAATATGTAACTTATGAATGAAAGCAGCCTACTTGTGAGCAAACTGTAAGGTGGCCAAGGTGATATCAAGTTTTAAAATTATATGGGGAAGTAAATTATAGATCAATCAGCCACCATTCAGGTGAATTAGTGAAAATTATTATTTATGCAGGGATTATTAAATTTATAGAAGAACAAGCCTTGCTGAGGTAAAATAATTCAGCAAGGTTTCTGCTAACACCCTCTTGCATCATTAACCTTTTAGAATTGTCTAGCAGCACCAGACAGAAACAAAGGGGTGATCTAATACTTGGCACTTTCAAAAAGTCATTGCCAAAGATCATCATCAAAGGCTCCTAAACAAACTTAGCAGTCATGGGACATGAGAATTGTTCCTGTTATGGATCAGTACCTGGTCAAAGCCCCAAAATAAACTAAAAATAAGTTGACCTTATAAATGATCTGGAGCTAGGACCAATTAGAGAGCCAAGGTCATAAATGACATCTAATTACCCAGGGCAGTAACATCTCAGATCTCTCCAAACAAGACTATTGTGTAACAGCTTGGCAGATGAGAAGCCATTTAAGCTAACAAACATTAGAAACATATGCACACACACCCCAGTGAGCAGTGACTCACAAAAGCTCATACCCTGCCACAAATTTTGTTAGTCTTTACGGTGCTACTGGACTTCTGCTCTTTTCTACTGCTTTTCATCCCAGTTTCACAGGTAAATGCTATTGGCTGTAACTATTTAAGAAAGACAGGAGTATTTTAAGAAAGAAGCAGAAGTATAAAGGAGAAATCCCATCACTGAATAGGTAAGTGTACCGTGGCTCTGAAAAAGGCAAAGAAGAGATTGGATTTATACCCCGCCCTTCACTACCCAAAGGTGTCTCAGAGCGGCTTACAAACTCCTTTCCCTTCCCCTCCCCACACCAGACACCCTGTGAGGTAGGTGGGGCTGAGAGAGCTCTTGACAGAAACTGCTCTTTTTCAAGAACAGCTGTGCCAGAGTTATGGCTTGCCCAAGGTCATCCAGCCAGGTGCAAGTGGAGGAGTGGGGAATCAAACCCGGTTCTCCCAGATTAGAGTCTGCGCACTTAACCACTACACCAAAGTGTACCGTGGCTCTGAAAAAGGCGAAATCCATGTTAAGAATCACAGGTCTTTCGCTCAACATTTCACCATGGAATATTTTAATACCTGCCTGAGCCAGTTCTATATTGAAAGCTCTCAGGGCAAAAACAGAAGAGCGCGATTCTGCTGGCAGTAGTAATGAACAGAGGAAGCCTTCATAGTCACGTTTCCTGGACAGGACAAACAGAAACAGAGGCAAAGTTATGTTTGTGTCACAAGTTCATGCAACAAAAGCCAAATTGAAGTAAACACAGTGTCTCTAGTTCAAGGAATACAGGATGTAATTGCAAGCTCTCCCCCCCAAAAGAACAAAAACACTATGTGGTAGATGTTATGGTGAAATACTTGGGAGATCTATGGGAATGTTTGCAGTTACGTAATCCCTGTGAGTAAGTGGCAAAAAAAACACTGAATATATTTACCACATCCCATTTGGGACTACATACGCCAAGCCGTGTATCTATTTCCAAACAATCCTGAGGAGGATCCTGTTTCCCGTCTTGATTCAGTCATTTTGAGGGAAACCCACACAGCCAATCTGTCTCTCTCCCATTTAAATACTCAGCTCACATGGCAGAGCAGAATCCTGTACCAGTGATTCTTAAACTTTGGAAGCAAACCCACACAGAGTCACATCCGGGGCTCCTTCTTGGGAACCACATCGCAAGCCATCGTGGATTGGATTCTGTTCCCACAGCAGCCTTCTGCAACCCTGAAAAGGCATCCTGAAGGCCAAAGGATCCCCATGTACGAAAAGTCACTGGGCAAGAGAGGGCCGACTACAGTGAGGAATGGGATGCAATCACCACACGCGCTCCTCTAACTGAGCTCTTGGCTCTGCCACTCTCCCTCTCTCAAGCTTTCTTTGGGTGGCTGAGTGAGGAGGGATGATTTCACCTAATTCTCCTTCCTCATTGTGGCCTTTCCTGTGCCCCACAGCTTTTTGTCCTGCGGCCCAGCAATGCATTTTCAGAATTACAGAGGGCTGCTGTGGGAAGGGCAGGCGGGGAAAGCACCTTGTGTTGCATTCTCATGCAATCCTATGGGATTCCAGCAATTGTCTAAGAAGCTGACCAGGGAGCCCCCAGCATTAAAATCGAGTTCCTTCTACACTCAACTACAGCTATGCCCAACACACAAGTTTAAGAGAAAGGATAAGCACACCTAGGTTTGTCACAGACACACCAGTCCACTGAAACTCAAGCTGACAAAGTTTACCAAACCTTGTCCCATTCCCTGCACTCAGTGAATTCAGTACAGCTCCAAAAGCTGTGGAAGTAGAGCTTACACTTGGCATTCAGTCTCCAGCATTTTCCTTTCAATCATTTTCAACATAATGAATTCATGTGGATATTTTAGTGTTATTTCCAACACTATGACGCTAAAATAATAATTATTTAAACCTTTCTAACCCACCATTCCTTCTGAGGAAAGGTGTGCTTAGGAAGCACACTATTCACCACTCCAGGTCAAGACGGAGTGTACAACAATGATCCCATGTGCCAGCGTTGTTCCTGGGGAGGCATCCCAGTTGCCTCATCTGCAGCACAGGCATGAAGAGAACCAACACAGAAGTACTGAAACAGTGTGCTGTGCAGAGCGTCAGGTCTGGAATCCTTTACTGAAAATATCCACTTAAAAAGAAATTGCCTGTGTGGTACGCCCGTGTAAAATAAATGACAGTACTCTGGTGTCTACAGCAGGGGGGTTCCCAACCTTTTTGAGCCTGTGGGCACCTTTGGAATTCTGACACAATATGGGGGGGGCGCAGCCACAAAACGGCTGCCACAGCCTACCTTCAGTCACACAGTAAAGATCTCTGAGGTGTGGTGGCAGCTGCTGCCGATCCAACATTTTTAAAAATCTGCACAGCCAATTCATTCTCCCATGGCCAATCACAACCTTGCTAGGCAAAAGCCCCACCTGGCCCTGCTCACTTTCTAAAAATACTTGGTGGGTCCCAGGAAAGGTGTCAGTGGGTGTCATGGTACCTGCAGGCCACCATGTTGGGTATCCCTGGTCTGCAGCATCTGGAACAGCAGGTTTTATTTGCTCCAAGACTACATTCATGCAAATATTTCAGATGTTTAAAAACAAAGGGTTTCCTCCCCCACTCCCGACATTTAGCCAACAGGACCTGAAACAGAACTCAGGTTCCACTCTGGAAATGCATAAGAACAGCAACAACTTCTCACACCTGAGCATGCCCAGTTGTGGCTCCCACAATGTGGAACAGCCCAACCGATGTGGTCAGAAAGGCTCTTATCATTTCACAGAATGCATAAAACAGAATTGTGCAGGATGACATTTGTTCCAGGGAACAGAAATGTGACGGAATGGAAGTGTACAAGAGGTTGCTTTTTATAGTGGGAACAGAGTTGTGGTTTAAATTGTGGAAGCATTAAGCACTTTTTGTTCTTATCCCCTTTCTCCACCTTCTGAAGTGTTTACAATATACGATACTGTTTTTATTCTGTTCTTCTCTAACGCTGTGAACCAACTTTATTGCATTGTTTACTGCCTAATCATGTAATCCAGTTTTAGTGCATGTATTATGATGGTTTTATGGCATTGTTTTTATAATTCTGTAAGGTGGATGATAAACGACATAAATTAAAACTGTTAAAAGCGTTAAAAGCATTATTAATCTTAGCTGCTCATCTGCATTCTATTTCTTTACTGACAAATACAGGTCTTTGTTGGAATATCTTAACACTTCAATAGTGACAACTATGCTTAATTGTATACGATTGATTTTATTTTCCAGAGCCAACACTGTGTACCTACCCATGGAAATAAAGATACTTATGTTTAACAGGAGGAGGAGGAGGAGACTGGATTTATACCCCACCCTTCACTACCCGAAGGAGTCTCAGAGTGTCTTACAATCCCTTCCCTACAGGAGCCACCCTGTGAGGTAGGTGGGGCTGAGAGAACTCTCCTAAGAACTGTCCTTGAGAGAACAGTTCTGAAAGAACTTGTGACTGACCCAAGGTCACACCAGCAGCTGCATGTGGAGAAGTGGGGAATCAAACCCAGTTCTCCCAGATTAGAGTCCGCGCTCCTAACCACTACACCAAACTGTTGAGCAAAAATTAGTACACATACATTTCAAGTCTGACTATGTCTGCTGAGAGAAAGATCATTACTACTCAGGGCCCAAGCACAAGGGGGAAATGGGTACAATTTACCAGGGGCTTGGTGGACTCAGGCTAGCTGTAAACCCATTACCACAATGTGATCTATTTACAATTCAAGAAATAATAGGTTTTTTTCCCTTCTATTACATCACATGAGCTTGGACGCTACATGTGTTGGAATCCGGTGGGGGGATTACTTCACACACACCCCTTAAGCATAAGCACTGCTGCTACCTGGCACAAACTGAAGACCCCTTGATGGAGATACAAAAGGACTGCTTTCTTTCTGACAAGCGGAGTGGTGTTCCAGCTTCAAATGAATATCTGCCTTGAGTCTCAGTAATAAAGGCAGACTATAAATGGAGGTAAGATAAATAAATAAAAGGGGTGGAAACAGGATCTATATTGATTGAATGAGTCAGTAATGTCCTACTGCCATCATTGAGGACATCAGAGGGAGGGAAGAAGAGAGAGCCACGTGCAATACGCCTGGCTCCAACTCCACCTTCCAACTGCCATGAAGAGAGCTGTCAGGAAGATTGCAGGATACATCCAAATACCACTCCATCATACCTGGATACAACTCTGATGAGAATCTCCTTCCCATGGATGTTAATGTGATTTGTACTGGATTTTTAAAAATATTATTATCCTTGTGAGGTCCTTTGGGAGACAACTGTGGGATGAAACGGAGTCTAAAAATATAATGAACAAAGCAACACAAGTCCTCCTTTTGACGGGGCTGTAACAAGACTCCCTCAGTAGGTGGGGCTGTGACTTCCTCCGGTAAGCCCAGACCCGCCCCCCCCCATCTCCAGGTGGAGGACAGCAGCAACATCATCGTGGAAGGAGTCCAGGCCCCACGCAGCTTGGCCAGGGAGGATTCTTCAGGTTGGAGAAGTAAAATATTCCTTACCCATTTAAACAACCTGACATGTTGGCAGCCAGAATAGTATCTCTTTAAAACAGGGAGTTTACCTGACAATAAGCTGCCGCTCTTTAAATGAGAAACGATTACAAATTAAAAGCTTGGCTTTTGGGAAACGAATACATTTTACTTCTTGCTTTTAAGAAAGTGCTACTCCTGCAAAGGTTTTGCATAGGCTAGAGCCCACTTCCTCAGATTCAGTGAGCGGATCCTCGCGACATGGGCATTTTATGCAAGATTAGGGAGGGGGCCAGGATTGAGGGGTCACAAATAGCAGAAAATCCTGCCTTGGATGTAATGATGTAAAATCCAAACCTAGTTCAGACAACTATAGAGACTGTTCACCAGTGATGTCAAACGAGTTAACCCCTGTACTGAATAGGCAGTTTCAGATTTTACAAAGAGACGTAAAACTTGTGAAGAGTGAGAAACTCCCAAGTTGTTGTTTCCAACCTGGGCGGCCCAAACCCGCTGCAGCCCCGCCTTGGAAACGGAGCCGAAAACAACCTGCCACCCCTCAAGACGAGAGTTTGGTACTCGCGTTAGGAGTAGTTTATGTAAATAAGGGAGAGTCACGCCCAGCCGGTGGCTGCGGCTGCAGCCCAGGAAGCATCCGCACACAGCCCGCCCCGAGCAGCTGCAAAGACAGAGGAGTCGCCTTGGCACTCACCGCACCAATTCCATGCAGTAGGGCTCCTCTTCTCCAGCGGCCGGCTGGCTAGAAGCAGCCGCCACAGCCACCGCCGGCGCGCCCCCTCCGCAGCTCGCCGGGCACAGCAGCCTCCCTCCACCGCGCGAACCCCGAGGCTGCCCATAACGGGGAGCCGAACGTAGCCCCCCACGGCCTGCCCTCGCAGCGGTCACCGCGGCAGCCATTTTGCGGAATCCCCGCCCCCTCTCTTCGTGCGACACACCCTCTGCTGTCAATCCGTGCTTCGTTCCCGGTCTCGACCAATCGCTTTCTCGTTTCTGTCTCGTCTCTGGTGTCAATCACCGGCAGTGTAGGTCACAGAGGTAAAATCTCACTAGGACAATCTGAAACCGCCGGTTTTCTGGCTGACGAGTTGGGACGTGTGTGAGGGGGGACGTGTCTTCCATACTCAGAGTGGTCGTATGGATGTGGTTTGGGATCATTTTGAGGTGGCAGGTGAATGAGGTATAACCTCGGTTGCAACCTGAGGCTTCTTTTGTGGGGGATTTCTTTGCTACACTGTTGTGTGTGTTTTGCAACATGACTGTGATGATTTCCAGAGATGTAGACACATACAAGAGAAACTTGAAGTATGAATGTTGTGTAATTGTTCCATTCTCCCTACACTGTGTTATACTGCAATGGGCATCTGTTACTGCGACATTGTTTTTCCATGAATAAAGACAGAAAAAGTATCCAGTTTATCTATTTAGATATGTATACCCTGGTTTTCTTACCAACGGGGACTCAAAGCAGCTTACACCCCTCTTCCATTTTATCTTCACAACAACCCTATGAGGTAGACACAGGGGTCATTTAGTAGCAAAAGAGGTGCAGGAGCTCATTAGCATAAATTATTTGCATAACTTATTTGCATATGCCACACACCCTGACATCACCGGAAGTGTGTCAGAAGGCAATACCCACCACTCAGGCTCCACTGGGCTGTTTTGGATTGCTAGCTATGGGGGGGGAACGTGCAGATCTGCCCTCACAGAGGAGGGAGAGCTTGTACCTGAATAAAACTTGGTCTTAAAGGTGCCGCTGGACTGTTTTGGATTGGTAGCTATGGGGGGGGGGGAAGCT